AAAAAAAAAAACCACATCATAGTAAAACCAATACCTTCTCAGCTTCGCATCGAAGCTAAAACTATTAAATATCAATTTCTTTCTAAATTTAATAACTATAATTAGTATTTATTCATATATTATATTTTAAAATCAAAGGACTACTAATCAGGATATAATTAAAGAAATAAAAGTTGTTGTTGCTTTTGGAATAATCCACCAATTTCTTTAAATGAAACACTATTTACAGATTTACATCGAAGCGTTTCTTATGATAGTGATTTTAATCACTATTAACATTTAATTTTTTTAGATATTAAGTTTAAGTATTTAGGATCAGTTATGCAAAAGAGTGGACGTATTGACGAGGATGTAAGACACAGGTTAAAGTGCGGGAGGTTGAAGTGGAGAGAAGCGTCTGGCGTCTTATGCGATATCCTAGCTTCATAATACAATTTTTCTTTTAGTTAAAAAAAAATTAATTTGCTAAATTTTGTTATACTCAAATAAATTAATTATACAACCTGATTTAGCGAAAAACCAAAGGGTAGAGGCAACTGCCCCCTATTTATTTCAGCGAACGCACGTTCTCAACAATATTTCTCTAATAGTAATTATGTATTTGTTGTTCACCTCGAACTTCAATAGCGCTACTTTGGTATTACTTAATTTATATCCGCTCAAACACTATTATATTTATAGTTTACAAGAAGAAACGTTGTGTAAACTTTAGATTTGTTTATTTTTGTTCAACTTATTTTAATTTAAACAATTTTTCTATTTGTAATTTTTATTAGTGATAAACGAATAACAAATTATTGGTCAGTTTTTTAAGTAAGTTTTTTAACTTTTCTAAAATAAAATAAAAAAGATATATATATATATATATATACAAGAAAAAAATTATATAATTTATCTATGTTATACAGAATGGCCCATCACTCACTGGCAACTTAAATAACTTTTGATCCAGTTAATATTTTTTGTTGATTTTTTTTTTAAATAATAGTTATACGTTAGGTCTATAGCTATATGTCAATAATTAATTTTTTTACATTTTATTAAAAATATTAATTATTTTTAAATTTTAAATAAAATGTAAAAAAAAAATCTAAGATAGCTATTTTGTAGAGTAGAATTTAAGAAAAATTTTAGTAAAAAAATATCTTATTAATATTCAGTAGTAAATATTCTGTAGCGTTTTGAAGTTTGTGAAAATTTGAATTTTCATGTATTATTTTACGGTATTAAACATTGAAATACGTATTGAGAAAAGGACAGAAGAAAACGCTATCTTTTCAATATACTTTTGAAAGTGCGGGAGGTTGAAGTGGAGAGAAGCGTCTGGCGTCTTATGCGATATCCTAGCTTCATAATACAATTTTTCTTTTAGTTAAAAAAAAATTAATTTGCTAAATTTTGTTATACTCAAATAAATTAATTATACAACCTGATTTAGCGAAAAACCAAAGGGTAGAGGCAACTGCCCCCTATTTATTTCAGCGAACGCACGTTCTCAACAATATTTCTCTAATAGTAATTATGTATTTGTTGTTCACCTCGAACTTCAATAGCGCTACTTTGGTATTACTTAATTTATATCCGCTCAAACACTATTATATTTATAGTTTACAAGAAGAAACGTTGTGTAAACTTTAGATTTGTTTATTTTTGTTCAACTTATTTTAATTTAAACAATTTTTCTATTTGTAATTTTTATTAGTGATAAACGAATAACTAATTATTGGTCAGTTTTTTAAGTAAGTTTTTTAACTTTTCTAAAATAAAATAAAAAAGATATATATATATATATACAAGAAAAAAATTATATAATTTATCTATGTTATACAGAATGGCCCATCACTCACTGGCAACTTAAATAACTTTTGATCCAGTTAATATTTTTTGTTGATTTTTTTTTTTAAATAATAGTTATACGTTAGGTCTATAGCTATATCTCAATAATTAATTTTTTTACATTTTATTAAAAATATTAATTATTTTTAAATTTTAAATAAAATGTAAAAAAAAAATCTAAGATAGCTATTTTGTAGAGTAGAATTTAAGAAAAATTTTAGTAAAAAAATATCTTATTAATATTCAGTAGTAAATATTCTGTAGCGTTTTGAAGTTTGTGAAAATTTGAATTTTCATGTACTATTTTACGGTATTAAACATTGAAATACGTATTGAGAAAAGGACAGAAGAAAACGCTATCTTTTCATGATTACTGTGTATACATATGATGATAGTGTGTATACATTACAAACTTGGCATAAATACCATGATAAGAAATTAGATAAGGCAATTATTACTTATCACTCTCATTCATCTGTCCTTTTCTCAATACGTATTTCAATGTTTAATACCGTAAAATAAAACATGAAAATACAAATTTTTACAAACTTCAAAACGCTACAGAATATTTACTACTCAATATTAATAAGATATTTTTTTACTAAAATTTTTCTTAAATTCTACTCTACAAAATAGCTATCTTAGATTTTTTTTTTACATTTTATTTAAAATTTAAAAATAATTAATATTTTTAATAAAATGTAAAAAAATTAATTATTGACATATAGCTATAGACCTAACGTATAACTATTATTTAAAAAAAAAAATCAACTAAAAATATCAACTGGATCAAAAGTTATTTAAATTGTCAGTGAGTGGTGGGCCACCCTGTAAAATTAAGTAAGTCAAAGATAGAGTACAAAATAGTCGAGTCAAAACAGAAAAAGAACCAGGCATGTAACGATTTTGGCCAACACTCAATTATTTTAATCCAAATTTCAGTTCACCTACCTGTTTGTTTTCTGGCACAAAAAACTTTTAAATTATTGATCACAAAAATTGTAATTTTAATAAAATTAACATACCTTGGTTTTCTCTTGACTTTTCACATATTAAAATTATAAAATTGACCCCCAAAAAAAGGGTGTCCCTATATCTATATATTTTGAAACCGATCTTAAAAATTATTTTGATAACGCGTATTTTTCATTTTTGAAAGTGTGCAAGCATTTATATTTGCTTAGATTTTATCATTACTGTAAAAAAAAAATAATAGAATGTCACATGATAGTTACAAATACGGAAAAGGTAAAACAATACTGGAAAATATGATTTTTAACCGGAATAAATTTTACAATGACTTAATTAAGAAATATTTTTCTACATTTAAATGTAAAAAACTATAAATTTATACCCAAATTTTCACAAAATCAAACTTTAAAACACCATAGCATGGGATAGTAAGTCTGGTCACATTTTACCGACATTTCTTTGTTTTGTTGTTGAGACACCGTTATGTTGCGTAGTAGTAGTAACAGTATGTGTAGTGCACCGATGCCGACAGCCATCAGAAAGTAAAATGTTAAATAAACTCATTTTTAGTTCATTAGCTTTTTTAATTAGATAAAATTATTTTATTAGCAATATAGTCACTAAAAATAAAAGAACTTTTACAGTTTTTTGAACTTAAATTTAAATGAGTATTATTATTTTGTATTTGATACCGAAATAAGTATTATAATTTTAAGATAGGTGAAATATTTTATATTAAGCCTAGATATTAAGGTCTAATTTCTAAATAAAAATCTACCACAGTAATAAAAAGTAATTTTTAAAAATTAATAAAATAAGAATATTTCAATTTTCTACTAGCTAATAGTCATTTGTATCGAAACATTATTTAGTAAACATAAATAAAAAACTAACAATTTTTAAATAATATTTCGATAGCCATGGTTGTATATTTTCATATACATAAATTTTAAAAATGTAATCAATATATTAATTAAAAATAATTGACTTTTATTTCACTTGTATTTTTATAAATTATTTGAATTTTGTGTGTTCATTTAGTGAAATATTAGCAGGCTTGTTAAGAATTCTATTAAAATGTATTTAAAATACAAATTCGAATACTAATATTGAAAAGTATTCTTCTGTTGAAAATACAAATAGCTTTTAAAAGTATTTCAAATATTCTTTTTTTTTACAAAATAGAAGATTTTTATGCTCAAAAAATTACAGTTAATCCTTAGTTAAAATTTTATTAAACTAATTAATTATGAAATATAAGACTTTAGACATCCTTATACTTAATAAAATAACTCTTATTTTTTAATTTTAAAAATACCAAATTTTATCGAAAAAATAAAACTATGTATTTATTTCATTGAAAATTTTAAACTATTTATTCTTTATATTAATATTTAGTTTAATTTACAAAACACGACTTTTTCATTTTCCTAAGAAGAAAAATGAGACTTATTAAAATGACATTACATACACTGAAGACTACAACTGGGGTACTACTAAGTATTAGTGTATTGTGAAGCATAAAAACATTTGGATATTTATTCAAAATAGTTTTTTTTTGTTGATCAGACAACATACANTTAAAATAGTTTTTTTTTTGTTGATAAGACAATATACACTAATATTAAGTATAATTCATACCTTTGGGGTCTGTTATCGGTGCAATTCTTAGTAAGTGCCTTCAAATATCACAAAATTTTACACATATTTTTTAACAAGGATAATAATTTTCATTATTTAAGGAG